AGCACAGAGGGTTGAAAAATTGCCCAGGGTGATATACTACGCTTCTAGGACGTTAGATGTTGCTCAAGCAAATTACACAACCACGGAAAAAGAACTTTTAGCTATTGTTTTTGCACTTGATAAATTTTGGTCATATTTGCTTGGTTCTCATGTTGTTGTTTTTACAGATCATGCAGCTCTAAAGTACCTATTAAAGAAGGCTGATTCAAAGCATAGGCTGATCAGATGGATGCTTTGGCTTCAAGAGTTTGACTTAGACATTCGTGATAAGAGCGGAGCACATAACTTAGTGGCAGACCATCTTAGCAAGATTGAGAGAGCTGAGGATGAGAAGGCTTTGCCCATTCATGATGATTTTCCTGATGAACATTTGTTAACTATCTCTGTTCCTTCCCCCACCCTTTGGTTTGCAAACATTGTGAATTATTTAGTTGCTTATGTGTTTCCTCCTTTGGCATCTAGAGCTCAAATTGATAAACTTAAGAGCGATGCTAAATATTATGTTTGGGATAACCCCTATTTGTGGAAGTTGTGCAATGATCATGTAATCTGGAGATGCTTGCCAGACCATGTGATTGATTCGATCCTACGGTTCTGTCATTATTCTACACCTGGTGGTCATCTTGGAAGGCTACCAAAAAACATGTCTAGGCCTTATTTTCTCACCCTAATAAAATACCCTAGCTATAAAATAAAATCCTATAATCTAAGGCACCTCATAATACAAGGGTAAAATGAGAAATACAAGTAAAAATAAATCCTATAACTAAGACACCCCGCCAGATTCTGCTTGAACATATTCCACTATTTGAACTTTTCGTTATCCGACTGAAATACTAATGCACATGTTAGTAATAATAATATGTATTATATTTTTCATATTCAAAATCTTAGTGGGAATTGAGAATGCGCTTCGTCTGACTTAACAAGGATGCCCTTAGGCCTATGCAATGCCCCTGACACATTCCAGTGGTGCATGTTTAGTATTTTTAGTTATTTTCTTGAAAATTGCATAGAGGTGTTTATGGATGATTTTACTGTTGATAGATCCTCTTTTGATGCATGTTTGGATAGTTTAAATCAAGTTTTGAATAGATGCATTGAGATTAACCTTGTTCTTAATTTTGAGAAATGTCATTTCATGGTTGAGCAAGGTATAGTCTTAAGGTATATCATTTCTAGTATAGGCATTGAGCATGGTTCTCAATTGCCTTACCCCTCTTGCGTGCGAAAGGTGCGATCTTTTCTAGGCCATGTAGGTTTCTACAAGCGCTTCATTAAGGACTTTAGCAAGAAAACCCTTCCACTATCCAGCTTGCTGTAGAAAGATATTGAGTTTAATTTTGATGACAGGTGCAAGAAGGCGTTTGACTGCCTCAAGATAGCCTTGACCACCACTCCTATCATTCAGGCATCAAACTGGATAGTTCCCTTTGAGTTGATGTGCGATGCTTCAAATTATGCACTAGGGGCTGTCTTAGCACAGAGGGTTGAAAAATTGCCCAGGGTGATATACTACGCTTCTAGGACGTTAGATGTTGCTCAAGCAAATTACACAACCACGGAAAAAGAACTTTTAGCTATTGTTTTTGCACTTGATAAATTTTGGTCATATTTGCTTGGTTCTCATGTTGTTGTTTTTACAGATCATGCAGCTCTAAAGTACCTATTAAAGAAGGCTGATTCAAAGCATAGGCTGATCAGATGGATGCTTTGGCTTCAAGAGTTTGACTTAGACATTCGTGATAAGAGCGGAGCACATAACTTAGTGGCAGACCATCTTAGCAAGATTGAGAGAGCTGAGGATGAGAAGGCTTTGCCCATTCATGATGATTTTCCTGATGAACATTTGTTAACTATCTCTGTTCCTTCCCCCACCCTTTGGTTTGCAAACATTGTGAATTATTTAGTTGCTTATGTGTTTCCTCCTTTGGCATCTAGAGCTCAAATTGATAAACTTAAGAGCGATGCTAAATATTATGTTTGGGATAACCCCTATTTGTGGAAGTTGTGCAATGATCATGTAATCTGGAGATGCTTGCCAGACCATGTGATTGATTCGATCCTACGGTTCTGTCGTGCGAAAGGTGCGATCTTTTCTAGGCCATGTAGGTTTCTACAAGCGCTTCATTAAGGACTTTAGCAAGAAAACCCTTCCACTATCCAGCTTGCTGTAGAAAGATATTGAGTTTAATTTTGATGACAGGATAAAATGTCGTGAAATAGAACTTTTGAGAGGCCAAATATGACAGTTGTTACATTAATAAATTTATTAAAATTAAAAAAATTATAATTTCTGACGAAAAATTCCGTTGAAAATTTCTAACGGATTAAATTATTTCCGACGGATTTTTTTTTCCGACGCCACTTTTTCTGACGGATTTAAATCCGTCAGAAAAAAAATTCGTCAAAAATTTATTTTTTTTTCGTCAAAAATTTTCTTCAGAAATTAGCATTTTTCTTGTAGTGATATCTTACAAATCTTTACCCATAACTACACACATACACACATATACAATATTCATTACTTCTCAACATAGATTCTTTAAGCAAGATTAGTAACGTATATAAAATTTCCACAACATTATTCATCAATTACTTCTCTTTATTCTTAATCTTAGTATCTTTTCTCGGCTCCTCAATAATTATCCTTTAAAACGTACAAAATAATTTTTTAAAGAAAAGGTGTGGCGCTCGACGAGGTTTGACTCATGCCCGACACAAAGAGGTCTTAAACCTTTCTACCACCACTTTGTCTTAAACTTGCCTAGCATGGACCGGGCCACACCCAACTTCACTTCCTTGAAAAATCAATGTCAAATGGCATTGAATGGAACACCTCACACCTAATGTTAAGAGGTTTGGGACCTCTCTAACAGCTCTACGCCCAACGTGATCCTTATACCTGATGTGGTCATAGAAACTACACATTACAGATTTGCAAGTTACGTGTCTCATTTCTTTCAAAATTCATACCAATATAGCAATTACTAATACATCAATCTAATTAGTCAATTAATGAAATTATGCTTTGTAAACATCATCTTAACATCAATTCATGCAAATTCATCTAACCCCACTCAATTTCATCAATTCATGCATACATAACCCTAATTGTCAAAGGCACACATTCATCATTCAAATAGGGTAAATAGAACATTGAACTAATTACATAAACAGAGTATCATATAATCATACTTGAATTTATAAACACAATACCACTTCACGTACAACCGACGAGGCTTAGGGTTCCCCCATCTACCCTTATACCTCATATATGCCTAAGGACTTAACAATCTTACTCCCCCTACCTAAAGTGACAATCCTTTGGAATAATACACTTCTTGAAGCTCTGATCGCTAAGTTGTCTTTACCCTAGTGGTCTCCTGTAAGTTTCCTACTACAAGTGTTCTAGGTTTCAAAAGACGCGTGCATTCCTTTTGCTTCTTTTTAATTAGCCTCTAGTTTGGGCTTAGAGTCTAGCATAAAATATTCCAATTTATCTCTCCTATTTTATTTTATTACCAAACTATTTCCCTTAAAGTATTATAATTATTCTATTTATTTAAAAAAAAATAGGTGTTAAATATGATACTTGAATCACTTATTATGAAGCCTTCTCATAGTTGGTCCATCCAATATAAATATTCACTCCTAATATTTATACATGTGTGCCTAACTTGATATCTCATATCCAAGACATATGAGATATACTCATTATTTAACTCATATAATAGCCTCAATGTATTATTGTCGTCCTAGTTAATAATAATACTTGACCATGAATGATTTAAGAATAATGCCCTTTATTCAAAGAATCTCAAAATCAATCCAGACATGACATACCTTTGAATTGACAATTATTCTATAGATGTTATCACGCTTTTAAAATAAATAACACAATAACTTAAATGTCATTAAAATAAGATATCTTTATATGAAAGTCATTATTCACACTACAAGAAAATTGTCATACACTAACACGATATGTGTCACTAAAAACTATTTTTACCCACACAATAAATACAATATATGTTGGTATATTGTTAAAAAGTATGAGTACAAGTTATAGTGACATGCATTATATGTTGTTAAATCTCATTCAAAATCAACACTAAAACTGTGTGTAGTTATATGTCAAATAGATATATACCTACATATATTACACTTATAGTGACACTTTTTGTATGTCACTATATATAACATTTCTTGTAGTGTCAAATAAAGGATTGATCACTTGGACTAACTCCAACAAAATGATCACCATCCAAGAATACCTTTACAACTTTTCTTTCTTACTTACAGGTTAGCATAAAATATATTGATTTTTTTCACAATCAGTAATGCAAAAAGTATATTCTTACGTTAGAAGTTAGTGAAAATTAATGAATTCATTTAATAGGTTTAATTTATTAAACTATTGACAGAAAATAATATCGTCACATCTCTCTTCAATTAATATTTTTAACTTATAAATAAAAAATTAATGATATTTTGTTTCATATTTTTTAGTTCAATAATAGTATATTACTTTTACTAATAAGTCGCTAATTTGAGTGCAATTAGACTTCATTTTCTTAAACAAGGTGTCAAGTTTGAGTATTGCAAATGAAAAAAAAACATATGATTGGTCAATCCTAAATGACTGATTGGTCATGAAACCATTACACATATGTAATTTTATCATCCTAGCTACACACAAAGTGCAACATAATACTTGTGCCCTTTAACAAAGTTTTGCACAACAAATATTGTATATTTATTTTAACATATTGCATTTAAGAGACCCTATTAAAAATATTATATTCATTTCATTAAATCTTCATTTACATAATACACATATTAAAAGCATTTACGTTACATTATAACGTCTCTCTCTTTTCAAATAAAGATAAATAAAGTAAAAGAATTTAGCATATTCATCTTCTCAATCAATTAATGGGCACATCCTTTATATATACATATAAGAATAGTTAAAATTCTCAATTTCACTCCTCAAAATGGCTGATCAACCACAAGGTGCTGTTGATGGAAATTCTGGAGTATCTCAACTTAAGGGCAAACGTGCCATGTTAGATTCATCATCACCTCCGTGTGGGGCTTGTAAGTACCAAAAGAAAAAGTGTCGCAATGATTGCATCTTTGCACCTTACTTTGGTTCTAACCAGGGTTATGCACAATTTGAAAAAGTGCATAAGGTATTTGGTACAAGCAATGTGTCAAAGATGTTGTTGGATGTGGAAGTGAATCATCGCCATGATGTGATCGGTAGCATATTGTTTGAGGCTCAAGCAAGGTTAGATGATCCTATTTATGGTTGTGTCTCCACCGTCATAGCTTTACAACAACAGGTTAGTTTGATTAGAAGAATATCTACACTTTGACTAATGTGCCTTTTTTAAATAGAAATTACTATTATTATTGACAAAACATAAATAAAATTCTTTTGATGTTATGCTATTTTTACCGATTAATATTGTTGTTGTTGTTGTTGTCATATGTGTTTTTAGTCCTTGAACTTTCTACCAATTTTTACTTTTAGTTCCCGAATAATTTTTTAGTCCCTAAATTTTTTTCTATGAAAGGAAAATCTTAACATTAGGGACCAAAAATATTAACAAGAAGAAGAGTTTAGGGATTAAAAGTGAAAATTGATAAAAGTTTAAGGACTAAAACTAGTAAAATATTTGTTCAAGGATTAAAAGTCAAATCAAGAAAAGTTCAATCCCTAAAAAATATATTTATTATTATTATTATTGTTGTTGCTATTGTTGTTGTTGTTGTTATACACTGGATTTTTCTTCTATCTCATTTTTACTTTTTTCACCTCTCTTTATTAATCATCAAAACATTTGTCACAATTAGCAATTTTTCTTCCTTCTTTTATTTTATGCCATCACTTTTTTATTTCTACCTATAAATCTAAAAAAAAGGCATGTGCATTTTGCTTTTTTCCTTTTCTCTAATTAGTATTTTTATAATAATTTTTGTAATATAAATTTTGTAGAAAATCAATATAAGTTATGAAAGAAAAAAAATATCATTTTAATTAGAGAAGAACGTCAAAAGCACATAAGGGCTATGATTTTTTCTTTCTTTTTATTGATTTTAACAAATATTAAATAAAATAAACATATTAATGCACGCGCACACATACGCATACGCATACACACACACACACATATATATATAT